AGCCAGCTTCAGGTGACGTATGGGAATCATCCCGAAGCCAATGGGCAGGCTGAACAAATGAACCGTGTGGTGCACCATCTACTGAGGCATTATATCAAGCCCATCCAGGATGACTGGGATGAGAAGTTACCTCTCATCGCCAGTCTGTACAACAATGCTGTACATAGCAGCACTGACGTCAGTCGTAATCAGCTACATCTGGGGTGGAAGCCTAGATCTGCTCTAGACTTCCTCCTGCCTGGAAACCGAACTACTGCAACTCCTGGAACCATCGAGTTTGGTGTCCAGTATGAGAAGCTGTTGCAGCAGACTGTCAAACACGTCAAGGAATCTTAAGAAGCAATGATTGCTTATGAGAATAAGCATCGCCGACAGTCCACATTTCAGGTAGGGGAACGTGTCTGGGTCAAGGCTAGTGAGTCGGGACAGGAGTTCGGCATCTCTAGAAAACTAATGGCTCAGTATTTCGGTCCCTGGGAAGTTTTGGATATTGTGGGTAGTGAAGAGGATGGTCCCTTGTACGTAATTCGTATCCCTGGTCACCTACGCACTTACCCTGCGTTTCACGCCTCAAAGCTTGCACCTTTCGCTGAGACAGAACAGTTCCCATCAAGGAGACCTATGCTGCCCCCAACCATGGATGGTCAAGTGGACGTCGATGATATCCTGGAGCACAGAGACATGCCTGTTCCCAAGCCAGCTGGCAGGAGTAGACCGCCTAAATCTGTGAGAGAGTACAGAGTACGGTTCAGGCATCATACTGATCCTAAGGCAGATCGATGGTTTACAAAGGAGGAACTTGTCAAGACAGCTCCTCAGATCATGGCCGAGTATGAAAGAAAATTGAAGGGGAAGGCACCAACATGAAGCATCTCAGCGGACTTTTGAAGCTAAGGGGAATGGAATGCGAGGAATGAGCCCCCGGGGGGCCCTTATCAGACATGCACATGTTCTGGGCAGAGTACCCCAGCAAGCCAAGTGCCGGCCCTAAGTGAAGGCGGGCCTGAATATTCACCAGAGGCCAAAATTCGGCATTTTTCATATGTGGGTACTCAGGCTGTTGCAGCCCGCCAGTTGTTTGAATGGACGCATGAGCCTCCCTAAGCTGCATCAAACAGTTTGGCCCATGCTGTGGCAGGTGCGCCTGGGCACATACACACAATGCAGGGCCGATACATCACGAAGTGGCCACAGGCCTACGCAAAAGCAGCATTGTCGACGTACATACCCCGGGTCCTGTGCAAATGCAGCAAACGGCCCAAGTCTGAAGACTCAGGCCGTGCCCAACTGTGAAGGGCCCAGGCTTTCAGCTATAGCATTGGGCTTGGGCTTAGGTACTGGGGGCTGACCGGAAGCTACTGGAAGCTTCCCAGCCAGGCCACACGCAGCCAAGCAGGGGCTGCCACTTCCATATAGGAAGGAGGGCAGCCAGGGGCAGGCATTCTGGCCCACACAGGCAATGTGGTCAAGCTGCTGCGCTGCTGCGTTAGAGGCTGCGTGCTGTGCTGAGGCCAGAGCATGTGCGGGCGCGTGTGTGGTGAAGAGGGGCGCTGCTGGGCAGTGGAGTGCAAGCAGCCATAGCCGGGCTGCAGGGCGCTAGGGGGTGAGAGGGCTATCGGTGGTCTTCAGGATGGAGGCGAGTGTGGGTGGACAGGGTCTGATGAGGGGAGACGAAATACGTACCTGGTACATGAGAGAGGTTGGCTATGGTGTTGACATCATGTACATTGGTCTTCGAGAGTCGAAGTGAGCCAGTTGCGAGAATGTTGATGTAGGTGTCGAGTAGTGTAGGCTGGGCGCTGAGCACCAGACAGAGAGGAGCGACTTTGGATACTGTGTTGCTGTGGCCTGAGGGCTTGAACATTGGCTCATTACTTCATTGTATTGCTCTTATTCAGATGGAATCTCGGTGCATTTGTGCTCTTTGCTTGTACACGACTACTTGGACATTAGTGTGACTTCGCAACTTCGTTTTCTGTATATTGTTCCCACTCATATTCCTTGCATTAACCTGGAATGTCCAATCCACATTGCATTTTCTCTATTTTGAAAAGAGAGAGAGAGAGAGAGAGAGAGAGAGAGAGAGAGAGAGAGAGAGAGAGAGAGAGAGAGAGAGAGAGAGAGAGAGAGAGAGCTCTATGTCCTGGCAGATTTGAGCAGTTAGGATAGCGCTCCTGATGTTGCGTGGAGACCTCGTGGAGTCTGGGATTGTGGCACTCTATACATTCCACGGGTTAGACAGCAAAGTGGAAAAGGGGATTTGTCTAGCCATGGAGTGATAGAGATGATGGTGACGTGAGTGGGTTGTTTGGGATGAATAGCAGTGTCAGTGCTGTTGTATTTGTGCAATTAATCTTGTGGCTTTGTGGACCGACTCAGAGGGCTCTCCAAGTTCTTTCAGACCATTGGTGGATATGATCAGTGTTTTCTCGTTGGTGGACCCTTCTGTGTTGAGTATGTTGCCTTTTGGCCTCCATCCTTTTATGGACTATAAATATACACATAAAAATTGTGCAAGTGTGCCGCTCCGATGGCAGACGGGTGTGTGGGCAGTTGACGCTTAACCACACAAACATGGCCAAACTTGCATCTTTTATTGCCTCGCTATACCTTTGTTTCATGGATGGTTTGTGATGATTTGTGGATGGAATGAGAGAGAGAGTTTTTTTATTTATTTTTTAAACACACACAGAGACAGGCACACACACACACACACACA